TTTAAGCCTTTTTTTTTTTTTTTAGTTGTCTTCCCATGATACCAATCATGCAGGGGAATTGGAGGCACTACCTCATTACTGCCAAATAGAAATTTGGTTTCCTTGCTCAGCCGCCATAAATGGGAGACCTCCTAGTTGCTGATGGATGAGTGTTAGACTGTCAGCTTCCTATTGGTCCTCCATTTATGCCTCTCAGGTTGAGAGGCATAGGAATATGTATTTATTGCACCTCACACAGCTCCCTCTGACACTATGAGGAAAGAGTAGGAGCACTGTTCACACTGGTAGAGATAAAATTCCTAACTCTCCACTAGATCTCTTCTTATACCACCTTAGGGCAATGGGTGGGGTTAGTAGTACATGTTTTCTTAGTGGTTTCCACTGACTTCTCAAGCAGAAGTGGGCATCATTACTTCATGTCAGAGATGAAAGTGCACTTGCCTAGTCAGCCTTCTCTGACATCACCCCAGGGGGTGTTGGGGTGCCTTATTACAGCCATGCAAGGGTGGAAGTCTAGGCTCTCTGCTTAGCATTTGGTGGTAGGATTGCATGTGGTTTGTCTGTGCTTTTCTGTGGAGTAGAACAGTTATTGTTTAAGTTTCCTGGTATTGCCATGTTTTCCCTTTACTGGTCTCCTTCTGATTTTTTGTCTATACTTGTTGGTGTTTCCTGGTTGATCATTTCTTCAACTCTTAGCCTGGAATAAATGAAGTAAAACAAACCAACCATACAAACATACAAAAAAACCACTGAACTCACCTGTGTTGTTCCTTAGAATTTGAAGTTTTAGCCATTTGCCATCTTCTCTACCTTTTGAGCCTCCTTCTATTTGATGAACACTCCATCTTCCTAGAAACAGAAGTAATGAATATGTTAAAAATTTTAAATATGTATATCCATAAATAATGATTTTCTGAAAATTTTCTACCTTTAAAACCTATGGCCATTACAAGGCTTACTGTCAGAAGTGAAGGGAGAGTAGCTAGCAACTAAAAGAATGGATCTGTTGATAAGCTTTGGTTGATTTTACTGTGTTGACCTTTTTATTGTAAGGGAAGAAAGAAGTCTTGATTTTCTTGGCATAGATAAAAAAAATTTATTTCCTTTTCTAAATCATAACAGCTTTCTTTCTATATCAGGACATGTGTTTTGAAGAAATGAATCTTGACAATCAAACTATTGATAGAAAAGACTAGGATTTTTCTTACCTTATAATATACAAAAATTTTAATTTCAAGGGGAGGCCCTTTAAAGGGTTGAGCCAGAACAGAGGTAAGAATCTTTTGGATGTATTCTTGCTTCATCTCCTGCCTTGCTCAAGTTGAAAGGAAAATGAAAAATGAGGGGAATCATGCTGTACGTCCTTTTTCAAACAGGGAGACCACTTTACAGGAAGTGTCATAGTAATAACAGTAGTCACTACAAAGTAGATATAAAGAGAGCTAGAAGTAGCTCCACTGTACTTTACTAAAGTGAAGTGCAGAACTTCTTTTTCCCGCCCAGGGGGAAGGGTAAATGAGAATTGACAGCCACTGAGCTTGAAATGGGGCAGCAATAGCAAGGGGTAAGAGATGACGTAGTGCTGTGACAGAGGTCAGGGGTTGATAACTAATCTAGAGGCCAGATGGAGAATGTGAATGAGATTCAGAGGTTGGGTAGAGTGAGCTAAGGTTGAGGTGGAGCTGAGTTAGTGGAGGGAAGAAGCTGTACTTGATTCCTACTGTGTATCTGAGAAGTGAAACCGAGGAGCACATCCAGTCCATGTGTAAAAATTTCATCTCCATGAAGGCCAGTGAGAAATCAGAGGAACAGCAAAGGAGTTGTTCAGCTTGGGCACAGTTTCCTGTTGTGTTTCCTTATATCTAAACTCCAATCTGGAGAAGAAAAGTTACAAACATTTGTGACAAGAAAATTAATACTTAAATAGAATTGTCACCTTGCAATTTAATAAATATTTATCCATACAAGGCTGAAACAAACAAACCTAAATGAGAACAAGCTAATATAACTTTAAAAGGCAAGTTTTGTTTGTTTTTATTCTATGGATTATGGACTTAAAATGAATATTATAAAACTAAAGAAGTGGCAATAGTTGTACATGGAATAGTATGTGGTATATCACTGTTTTTGCACACCACTCTCTTCATCCTCACATCCAAATCACATACCTGCAAGAGGCATTCAGTTACCATAAATGCTTTGCATTGGATGGGAGAAAGTATGTGCTAAGCTACTTATATTGGATATTAGTGTACAACTGCCTACTTAGATTACCTTGTCAAATACTGTACAGATACTCAAAACAGCCCAACAAAGTATCTAGTGTGGCACTCTTACTGAATAGAGCTATCTCCTCCCCTTGAAGCAGATTGAATCATTTTTGAACCAGTTATAAGTGTTAGGAAGTACTTTCTGATATAAAGCCTAAATTATCTCCTTGTAACCTCTATAAATGGTCTTAGTTTACCTTTCAGATGCTACTGAAAAAAAAAAGTCTATCTTTTTTCAAACTTCCTTTAAATGCTTGAAAATGACTGTGTTATACTCCTAGTAATTTACTATTGAGATGGTTTTGTCTTTCCTTATTATGCTCATATTACCCTTGAATGAGTGTTATTTTGTACTTCCCACTTCAATTGTGGCAGTAAGGATGACACACAGCATTTCTTGTGAAATGTGGCCAGCTCCAAACATAGAGGTGACTATTTCTAAACAACACATTATCTCCTTGTAACCTCTATAAATGGTCTTAGTTTACCTTTCAGATGCTACTGAAAAAAAAAAGTCTATCTTTTTTCAAACTTCCTTTAAATGCTTGAAAATGACTGTGTTATACTCCTAGTAATTTACTATAGAGACGGTTTTGTCTTTCCTTATTACTCTCATATTACCCTTGAATGAGTGTTATTTTGTACTTTCCACTTCAATTGTAGCAGTAAGGATGAGACACAGCATTTCTTGTGAAATGTGGCCAGCTCCCAACATGGAGGTGACTCTTTCTAAACAACATTGGATCACTTGATTTGTAATCTTAATCTGATAGACTTTATTTTCTTTTTCATAAGTAGTGGTGTATTTTATAAAATTCTGTACATTTTCTATGCACATAGTATAGAAGTTTCTTAAAAAGTAAAATTATCTGAAGGGGTTCATTGGTGTCATGACAAGGAATAGTCAGATTCCCAATTATCACACCTACCATGATGAAATTCACATCTGGGGAGGACTCTGCAACAGGCAGAAGGAATCAAATAAACAAATGAGTCTGGATCCTAAAAGAGATCAAAAGATTGGTGTTAATCACTGATGCCAATCACCTTCAGAAAGGGATTCAGATATATAACTACCTAGAAACTATATGTAACCACAAAGGCTAATTAGTAGGCTTTTTGGGGGTTGCAGAAGGAATCACATCCTTGGTGAATATATCTCAATATAAGGTTTTTACTTAATAAACAAGAAATGTAATCTCATTGAACCCAGGTAGACTGATCTTCCTTAAACTGTAAGAGACTGATATGTGAACATGGGTAATAATTTCTTAATTTAGGGTGAGGGAATCTCCTTTCCAGTGTCAGCTGTTGCCTGCTATGTGGGTCATACCCCTTTCTAGTGCTGAGGATAAATTAGCCATTAGTTTGGCATGACAATGTGGTAACTAACAAAATAAATAATCCTTAAAAAAAAAGGAAGGAAGGAAGGAAAGAAGAAAGAAAAGAAAGGAAAGGAAGAAGGAAGAGAAAAGGAAGAGAAAGGAAGAGAAAGGAAGAGAAAGGAAGAGAAAGGAAGAGAAAGGAAGAGAAAGGAAGAGAAAGGAAGAGAAAGGAAGAGAAAGGAAGAGAAAGGAAGAGAAAGGAAGAGAAAGGAAGAGAAAGGAAGAGAAAGGAAGAGAAAGGAAGAGAAAGGAAGAGAAAGGAAGAGAAAGGAAGAGAAAGGAAGAGAAAGGAAGAGAAAGGAAGAGAAAGGAAGAGAAAGGAAGAGAAAGGAAGAGAAAGGAAGAGAAAGGAAGAGAAAGGAAGAGAAAGGAAGAGAAAGGAAGAGAAAGGAAGAGAAAGGAAGAGAAAGGAAGAGAAAGGAAGAGAAAGGAAGAGAAAGGAAGAGAAAGGAAGAGAAAGGAAGAGAAAGGAAGAGAAAGGAAGAGAAAGGAAGAGAAAGGAAGAGAAAGGAAGAGAAAGGAAGAGAAAGGAAGAGAAAGGAAGAGAAAGGAAGAGAAAGGAAGAGAAAGGAAGAGAAAGGAAGAGAAAGGAAGAGAAAGGAAGAGAAAGGAAGAGAAAGGAAGAGAAAGGAAGAGAAAGGAAGAGAAAGGAAGAGAAAGGAAGAGAAAGGAAGAGAAAGGAAGAGAAAGGAAGAGAAAGGAAGAGAAAGGAAGAGAAAGGAAGAGAAAGGAAGAGAAAGGAAGAGAAAGGAAGAGAAAGGAAGAGAAAGGAAGAGAAAGGAAGAGAAAGGAAGAGAAAGGAAGAGAAAGGAAGAGAAAGGAAGAGAAAGGAAGAGAAAGGAAGAGAAAGGAAGAGAAAGGAAGAGAAAGGAAGAGAAAGGAAGAGAAAGGAAGAGAAAGGAAGAGAAAGGAAGAGAAAGGAAGAGAAAGGAAGAGAAAGGAAGAATTGAGCTCAGCTGGACTACTCTGCTGGAAGCTGTAGCAGCTGATGGGGGCCCATTTTTCTTTGCAAGCCTATCATGACCTTCCCTGGTCCAAGTTTTTCTTATCCTCATTTAAGTAGAGGGCTAGCTGGAAAACACTATTCTCAAAGTGTGGCAGAGATAAAAGGGTCTCTCCCAGGTATCCTAAGAGACTGACACACCGTTGCTTCTCCTCCATCCACTGGCCAAAGGAAATCATTTGGCCAAGCCCCAAACCAAGGAATGGAGCAGTGTTGTAATGAAGTTTCAACCAAGGTAAGGATGATGAAGGGCTTCCCCTGTTAAGACCAGAATTTGATCAGAATAATGGTCGATGTGCCCGAGTTCCTGCTGCTACTTTGAAGGTCCTAATTTGTCCACTTGATGTGAAATAAACTTACATCCTAAAACTTGAGTTAAGACCAGAATTTGATCAGAATAATGGTCGATGTGCCTGAGTTCCTGCTGACTACTTTGAAGGTCCTAATTTTTCCACTTGATGTGAAATAAACGTACATCCCAAAACTTGAGCAACTCTGAATGTACAGAGGAAAAAATAGAAATGGGATAAATATGGAGAATTCCACATACTTGTACTTATCCTTTTCGTGTTTGCACTTCTGAATTCATTGTACTTGTTTCAAACATATAGTCTTTATTTTTCAAGGCACTGTTTATCAGATCATTTGCTATCTTAAATAACAGAATCTACTTTTTAATAAGTCTGTCAGAAAACACAGGATGAAATAACAATGCCTAAAAGGTCTAATTTAAGGTTTTCCTCTAAGATGTCATTAAATTTTTGAGAAATTAACCTTTATCCAAAATGTTGGATGTTCTTCTGAATGAATCAATATAAATACCATAGTTTCCAAGTTCCAATGAATAGCCTTTAAGTATAGAAGTTTGCAAAATCAGAGTGGACTATCTGTTGTTCTGACTTATTTTCTACAAAGAAACTCAGATTTTCTGATAGTTTTTCTTTTTCTTGAAGATATGTTGAGTTTCTTTTTTATCCTTATAATTGACATAAAAATAATTTCAGATGTACTTTCTGAGTTCAGCAAATCCTTTTAATCAATAGACATTTTGATGAATCCTACATGGGCTTTTCATTATAGTCATATATTACAAGCCATCTGACATCCCTTTGCTTTGGATTAATAGGATCAATCAATTATTTTTCAAAAGCTTAATATGATCCTTATTTTTATCTTGACTTTTGCCCCATATATTATTGTTTTCTTCTTATTGATATGCTACAGAAGTGTAGGTTTTATTATTCTTCCTATTTCCACATTCTACAGAGGAAAGTGATGAGCTTATACCTCATCCTTTCTGCATTAATTATGGAAAAACATATTGTTTACATTTCTTGGAAATACATTGAAAGATTTGTGCTGCAGCATTAACCACAGTTATTGCAGTGCTATCACTGCAGCTTTGGCATAACTTGAGTATTACTGACTTAGCCCATATAACAGTGAGTGCCTCGTCTTCTCAGGTTTTCTCTTCCAGCTTGTTATATGCCTAGCAAAGTGCTTTGCTCAAAGTAGTGGATGGTAATAAATACAAGTGGATGGTAATAAATATTTAACATAATAAATTTTTATTATGTTAAAGACCTTTTCAAAATTCCCATTTGCCTAGAGAGTAAATGGCTTCAAATGCTTCTTGACTTGTTGTTTCCTTCCTAATAGTTTAGTATCTCCCATCTGTGCAAGAAAACACCATAAAACTGTTTTTTCAATTTTTTTTCCTCAAAAGTTAAAGAAATTTAGGGTTTATGCAATAATACTCTACAATGATACTAATGTTTATAATGATAAAAAAGGATCTTTAAAATATTTTTTCACAGTTCTTCAGGAAATACTACAATCATCCTCAACCTGAACACATCTATACTTCTAAGTTTTAAATAGTATATGCAACTCATGTACTTGTATTTTTCATACATTATTTCCCAAATATGTACCGAGTCTTCATATTTATAACTTCTAGTATCCACATCATGTTTCATGAAATTGATATTCACAGTGAGAATAATGTGTTTTTTAATTATGTTTTTTATTTACTTTGTTATTATGCCACAAGTCTTTTATAAACATCAGCTTATTTATCTTTTCTTAAAACATATAAGTAAATTCCCAGGACCTAGCTATCAGCGCATTCTTATTTAGTTATATGTGGTTTAATTTTATTTTTGTAAACTATTAGGTCAATAAAATAAAACACCAGTAATATATTTGAAAAAGATCAAAGTCAAAATAAGGAACATTTTAAGCCTTTAAGCAAATTTATTGGCCACTACTATAGACATTATAGAGAGTACCATTTCATGACTGTTACTTTGTTGATTTTTTTTATTTAAACTTGTTCCCAGGTCTGGGATTTAGAATTGAGGTGTACTCGATCACCTGATTAATCCAGATATTAATATTACAACAAAAATATTAATTCCAGAGAACATCTTACATTGATCATCCCCATTTTACATATTGGTGTCTGCCAATGATTCTTTTGGGTACATAACTGGAAATGTGTTCTCCAAGCCTCTTAAAATGGAGTGCTTTCCCAGTGAGTTCTTATATAAGAAACTGCCAGTCTTCCTGTCATCTTCCTCTCCTATGTCAGCCTGACACATCCCTTCATCTACTGAGCAAGACAGCCTTCCTGTTCCTGTCAGCTTGACCAAACTTTAGACCAGCTTCTTCCTCAGGGGAGGCCCCTGACCTCACTCTTCTTAGAGCACTTACCTCAGAAAACTTGGAATTGTAAATTCTCTCCCTGCTGCTTTGACATGTAAATCTTCTCCCAGACTTTTGTCAGCTTTACAACCTAGGAGTGTCTTTCTCACAGACTAGGAGCCATCCCTTTGAAAGGTTATCACCAAGAAAGATAGTGTGTCGGTCTGTGTAAGAAGGTGGAAGCCTGAGTGAGCACCAATTAGCAGACACAGCTGGTCTAATAACATTGACCAACTACTCTTTCACTTCCCTCAGTACTTTTCCTCCAGCTCACCCAGTGCTCCCTCCAAGATTAAATGCTCGCTCTTACTGCAGTAGTCTTAAATAATGTCTTGACTGTTTAACTCTGTACAATTTTTCTATTACTCACACATGTTTATATAGCTATAATTTATATCTATCTTGCTATTTCTTTGTAGAACCTTGACTAGTATATATGCAAAGTGAATCTAGCAGCATGTGATAGCAACAACAGTTTCATCTTAAAGAATCATTCCACTATAATTTTTATTTTATATTTCAGTTCTTATTTTTGTATTTCAAAGGCCATCATTGCTGTGGAAATTGTGAATTTTTCTCTTTAAATATTGAATGATATACAATGTGAAAATGTGGGAATCATTTGCCAGCAGGTAAAGGAGATCTTTGTCAGTTGGACTTTGCATGATTGTTCAGTCATTTTCTGCCTCCCAGGGATCCTATGCTTCTTTGGGCACTACTGTTAGGTAGGAGGATTGGAAAAGAAATGGAGGAAGTGGATGGATAAGCTACAGTGTGTAATTCCTTCTCTTGAGTAATAATAGAGCGGAGGTGGCAACAGATAAGACATGAATGAGAAAACTGACCTTAGGATATGTTAGACCTAAGTATTTAGAATTAGATTAAATATTATTTTTCATTCAACAGTA